CTTCCGATATGTATGTGTTTTCGTACATTTTTCAACTCTTACCACATTTATGTGATGGGTGAGTGCGAATGCTTGTTTCGCTATTTTCTTAGTAAATGAGGGGGATTGTGCATGTGCATGCGTATGTGTGTGTAGTGTTCGCGCTCAATGATGATCAGTGTGCTATACTCTAAATGCGTGCGTCAAACGCCGTACTGTGGCTATACTACATGTTCCATGTTTCGTTCTAATATTTATTTTCTTGATGAATCGAGAATTAATAAAAAAATTTTAATTAGTACCGGTTTATGGAGCAACATTAGATGAAGTACTAACATAAAACATGACCCATATTGGAAACAACTATGTACACATACAAAAGCAGAGGCAGTGGGTACGATGGTTGGGAGCAGGAGGTTGCTGCCAGCGTCACTGGTGGAAGGGCTCAGTGGGGTGTGGCCAAACGCCCTGCAGCAGCTCTTCCACCAATGATGTTGGCACCACCACTCGCTCCTAGCCATCCTGCCCATTGACTCAAAAGACCTTACTTCCATATTTTGATGACACCATCTGAGCCAGCTGACACTAGTATATCGGAATGGAGGCTGAGTACGTCGCTAATTGAGCAACGATGCCGAGTCGACGCGTAATTCTGGAATTGAGCCCACTTGGATAGTTTTTGGCTTTATTGGAATGACTCGCACTCTGCAGTCCCCTTAGTGTCGGGTTGTAGACACATCGTTTGAGCTTAGTTAGTGGGGTAGGGTAACTTCAAGAATAAACCCGAGGATGTTGTCGGCTTACCGTGAAGAAAAGAGTAGTTAAGTTTGCCGAGGACGCTCTGAATGAAGGCTCATAATTGGACGTGCACCCGGGGTAGCGAGATAGTACTGCGCGGGACAGACGCCGGAGATGAAGGGAGATAGAATAAGAAAACATGGGAAACGAGAGGGACGTTACACAGGCCGAACGCAGCGCATCACGTCTGGGTTTATAGATACAGTGATCTCGTCCCAATATAGGGGTGGGGTACCTTCGGCTTATGAAGGTCGCGGTGCCCTCGTCATGCACATAGGAGCTGGGGTACCTTCGGCTTATGAAGGTCGCGGTGCCCTCGTCATGCACATAGAGCCGCGAAGTGGGTCCGATAATGCGCAACAGACCACTTGACCAAGGGAGGGATTCTACTAGTACGAGTAATCAAGAAGTATGTCCTTAACAGATCTGATGCCATAGCTGTCGTAATAGAAACTTATTTGAAATGTGGAAATCAGTTAGGGCCTATGAATCAGAACCATCAGTAGATCCTTAACCTTTTCCAATATACTCGATAAAAAGTACGAAGGGCAAGGTAAGTCTCCGCCAGAGATTGACCTTCTTTGGAATGCGGTACGCATTCCACTTCCATTCAACATCGTAGTGGTTCACTGGATGCTATGCGGCCTATATAATGTTCGGGGCTAGTTGATGTACAAGTTCGTTCTGTCGCTGTTCTTATCCTCTCTGAAGAATCTGGTGCCAATTATCCGTCCCGGGAGGATGAAAGGCTTGGTTGGCCATGATCCCATTCGGGTGATCCCCGGATCGCGCCTGTGGTGAGCATGGCACACTATTACACCACCTCGGTCATGTGCGAGAATCTGGGAGAAATCAATTTAGAGAATGATTACTGAAATTGGTTTCACAAAGCGCGGAATGGGAGTAAGAGAACATGCATTGAAATTAATGCATACTGCTCTGTAAAACTGAACGACATACAACCTTCTTGTAGCAAAAGCGAGCGAAAACTGAAAAAAAACGTGGCTCACCCTCATTTCCGGGAACGTTCGTACTTTAGTTTGCTCATTAGGAACTCGCATCTCATAAATTGTGGTAGGTTGTCCGTCTGCTCCTGTCATCTCGTTGTATGCGATTCGGTATGGGGATCGAGCTGAAAGCACGGATTCACAGAATCCGTAATAAACGGCGCAACTCAGTTGCAACTGTGAAATAAGAATTTGCTCTTGTGTATCGAGACCAGATAAAGAAAGCTTGAACTTGATTTTTGGAAATTAATCGATCCTTTTCTGGACAAGCAACGCATTTTGCTTCCATTAAGGGCATAATAGCTTATAATCGCAATCCAGCCTATAGAATGAATCTCGTAGCCAGCGAACAGTTCACTGTTGTTGCCTTTCCAACGAGTATGGTAGGACTATAACGGCCCCAAAGAGATGCAAGGCTTGGTTGGCCTGGGCGAACCCTACAATGAATTTCAGTCCATTTTATAAAAAGGATAAAGGAAAAATCTTCGCCGTTAATCAATCCCTTCTAGGGACGCGGCACGCATTCTACTTCCATTCAGAATCGTAGCGGTTGACTGGATGCGACATACAGTGACTTGCGGGGGCCAACCAATGTACAATTATCCTCCCAGACAATCTGGTGCCAAATTACTGTCCAAGGATGGTAGACGGCTAAGTTGGCTGGGCAGGAGCTGACTCGAGATCTGGTTTCCGGACCGTACCGTGGTAAGCGAGCCACTTGCCACTCCACCACCTCCGCCTTTACAATAACATTGAAAGATAAAAAGCAGGAGAAAACTCCCTTATTTATTCATGGTGTTGGTAATACATAAGACTCCTACCTGTTATTTCTCTGGGCCCACTAATATAGTCGCATAAAGGAGCGCGGCCAAGATTCCAACGACGAAGGCTTCCTTCGGTATCGCCTGTGTACACAAATCCTGTATCAGTACAGACCGTCAGCGCTGTAGTTACATTTCGAAGATCGTCCTGAATCGAAGATTTAGAAAATGCGACTACTACTAAGTTTGGCCATGAAATGCCCATCCTAAACCTACATCGGCTGCACCAGTTTGCACGTACGAGAAGGGGTCTGACAGTGAAGGCCATAGCGTCCTGCAAATATTTTCTTTATTGCAACACCTGTTTACTGAACACTTCCAGTCTTGAAAATAATCAATTCAGTTCAATTATTAATATAGATTCGGTCGCTCTGATCGCGCGATTGGAGCCACTGAATAGCTAAATATGAACGGGCTCTCATTTGGTGAAGCTTTTACTTATTTCAAGCCACTAACCTCGAAGGACTTGTTGTACCGAGTTCAAAAACGTCAACTTCACCACGTGTCCCATACGCGACAAAGACCTGTAACAACAAAACTGTACGATTATCGTAAGCTACGAGAATGCAAGAATTAGTCATTTCGTAAGTCTCAAGCAGCATTCCGAGAGATGCATGTATTACGACCGCTAGACCGCGACGCACAATCTGAATATACTCTAATTCGCTCCGTTTTCTAAGAAAGGGCGTGTCAGGAGGGATGAGTTTGGAGCGGTGCCCAAAAGATTCTCCACCAGTTGTTGAAGCAAGCGAGTGACAAGACAGTATCAATT